TGCATATTGTTGTTCTTATTGATGTCATTATCATTGTTGTTATTGTTGCTAGTGTTGCTGTTAGCGTTATCATTATCGTGATTATTGTTTATTCTTCTTTGATTCTTGTAATTGTTTAGGTAACCAAAGGGTCTTAAGTATTTATGTGGTACAAAGAAGGGTTTCTATACTGTATGTGGTCTAGGTCAGTACTTCACAGATATGTACCTGGGATCCTTTGGTAATAGTGACCATGGTCATGGGACTAAACTACGATGCTTGTATGTTCCTCTTGCACCAGTCTCGCTGGCGACGGGCTTACCATACATAGTTGTCCTTTCCAGCTCCTACCAGGACTCAAAGCACTCAAATATTCAAAGCCCATTTCAAGCCTAAACCTTATGCTTGAACTGTGAAACCTGAACTTGAAGCCCCGCCTAATTTGTGGGTACTTGGGCCTGCGGTTTGCTGTTACGGGTGACTGCTTGGGAAACCCTTTGGCAAAGACCATGAAGGAAATGCAGCGACCCTAGTTTTTCGAAACGCCGGAATTTTCTGTAAATAGTCTCAAGCAATACTGGGGCAGAACTTTGGGGTCATTATCGATGCCTCTCCAACCCCGACCCACGGACATGTTCCAAACCAGGTTAGAGATAACCTCTTTTCACAATCCCCGTATCAACCAAAAGGTAGTGCCAAAGCCTTTCTTGTCACTTAAGTCCAATATACCACAGCCACTCAAAATCCTACGCATGCTGAAAGCCAGATAAATGCTCTGGAATACCTACATACCTGTTTCGCACAATTCGGGTGCCTCCCTATATAGCCGCCGCAAACCTTAAGCCCACACAAGAATGACCGCAACAACGGGAAGCATCATCCTGAAATGCTCCCACATTCCACATCATCAGCCAACCTCTCGAATGCATATTTCCAAAAACTTGTGCATTTAAGGATCCCTGAAGGCTAAACCCCAAAGGGTCCAAGGACCCAAATAAAACGGCCCAAATACCATTCATGTTGTAGTATTTGGGCCCTAAAACCCTAGTATTTAGGACCTTGGACCCCCCCTAGAAAAAGGGACTCTTTCAAGACATTCTCCAAGTCTTAAAGTGAAGCCCCATCTCAGGATGCGAGGTTCAAGCCCCGGTCTCTGGCTAATGGTTTACTTACTGGTTCTTAGTAGGGAATATGGGAGGTTTAGGGTTTAGGGGGTTTATATGGTTTATATAGTTTATGGTTTAGGGTAGGGAATAAGGGAATATATTGCGGGATAATGGAAACTGCTATAATACAATAGGGTGTATATTGGGGTTATAGTAGGGAAGAAGGAATATGTTATATGGGGTTGTCTGGGGATGATATTCCCTTACTCCTGACAAGAACCAGTGAGTTTAGAGTTCAGGGCGGGCGACTTCTGGTTGTATACGCCCTGAACCCGAAAGCCCCCCCCTTTCCATACGGTAGCTCCTGAAAATTATGTCCGAGAGCTTGCACCATAGACTCCGAGCCCCAAACCCCAAAATCCTTGCAACCAGACCTCAAACTTTCTAAGTTCATGCCCTTTACCTTACTATACACCAATTCGAATCTGCATCTGGAAGTCCAGGGCAACTACAACCCAAACACACCTGCAGCTCTGACCGAATTAAAAACCATACCTACGCGATCAGGGACTTCTAGCTACATTAAAAACTGGAGTGTGCGTTCCATAAGCATCCAAGTTAACCTTCAATCCCCCCAAACCTTAAATCCCAAACCCTCGAGCCCCCAATCCTCTGTGGTGACGGAAGCAGCGGAGCCACAGGACCTCAGCAAAGACCGCGAGTTCCAAAATTTCAGTGTGCGGGTTGAGGGCTTGAAAGGTCTATTGGCTTTAGAGGCTTTGGGGTTTCCGAGTAGACACCAGCAAGCTGGTGCCATCTACGTGCTGCATAGCGCTGAGCTTTGAAACCCTGTGAGGTCTAGTCTGTCAAGCTCGAATTCTTAAATCCCTGTGACTAAAGATGAGGGCACTAGAATATTTCGCTTACCCAGTTTCTTAACAATGAAAATATGTGAGCCATAGAATCCCCTACATATACCCCCTTTGAGGAGTGTAGACTATGGCTCATGTGGCTTTGGTTCCCTGTATTCTTGATGCAGAACCACAGCAACTAGGGTCTGGGAAGAAGCTGCAGAAGGGAAGAAACATAAAGATTCAATGTTTAACCCTGCAGTCCCAAACGTCCGTGACCCTACACCCCAAACCTTGAACCAACAAAGATGCTGATGTAGCCATCAAGTAGATACTCCTGGAAGGGCCTTGAATTCCACACATGATGCGAATTCCTGTCCCTGATGATCCCTATTCCCTTTCTCAAGCTGCTATGCAATGCCTCTTTTTCTGCGCAAAACGAGCACACAACGAAATCGGATATGGCCACGTATGACATGAAGAGATTTTCTAGCATAGCGGGCTTCGCACATCTGCACACGACTGCGCAGTTCTCCGCTTCGAACGTTGCATCCAGAACTCTGAACCCTTAATTTCAGAGCTTGGAAAGACGAAGCTTTGACCCTAAAACCTACCACTAAAATCCAGCCCCAGGAAGCTTCATACCCTAAATCCTAACCTCCAACATTGAACCCGAAGCCTTGGTTCCAAGTTTAGACATAAACCTGAAATCAATCCTTGAACCCTCTTTAGGCCTCAACTCTTGTTTTTGCTCTGCACTTCGCACGACCCCGTGGGGAAAAACGAGCCACCGATCCTAACACCAGGGCCCTGAATTTTACGATGTAGCCCTCGCCTTGACACCCTCAAATCCAAAACCCTATGAATCCTGTGCAAAGCTTTTGTGCAACCCTGTAGGCTTCATAAATCTTAAACAAACCTACACCGCTGCTTGCAAGGCCATGGAGGGCTTAGTAAGTAGCTTAATGATTTGAGATAGCTGGGGTTCTCATGTCGCTTATACACGTCAGAAGTATGCTTAAGTACCCCTGACCCTCCAACCTACTGGTGCTTAAGGGAGAGTTGGGGAGTGGATCCCTTTACTCCACCCTAATTCAATCCTCTTATGTACCCCCCCCATCCACCCACTAACCCTAAAGCCTCAAACCTAAACCCCAAACGCCGTAATATTCACTCCCCCACTCCCCCTGAAGCACCAGTAGCAAGTGCTCTCCGTCCCTGATCCCGGGAAGCCTTGTCCCTGAAGCCGCCAGCTCTACATCCGCCAGGTGCTCTGGGGCCTGCCAGTTTCTCCCTTCCCCCAAAGGTTTAGGGTTTAGGTCTTTATTCTGGGTTGTATTAGATAAGGATTCTACAGGAACTGTGTTTGGCTTCTGTAGGCACTATAGGGTTCCGGAATATTACTTGATATCACTCCCGATAACGGAGAATCTCATGGAACAGAAAATGGACATGTAATGGAATCTAGACTGACGCTGGGATTATGTAGGGTTTACCACGCTTCGAAAAGTACAGAAATTGTAGGCTGTAAGGGCTTTCCAACAGTTAGGGTTTCGAAAGGCACGAATCCATGTTGGGGAGTTCCTATAGTAGGGACTGTAATCCTTGGGGCTACATGAGAGAAACCTCCTTTTGGGAAAGACCTATATGTCCTCATGAGGACTTGTGGGGTTTTTCGCAGCATCCACAGAAACTCCCGCACGTTTTTGACTTTCAGAAAAGTCAGGTTTTGAGGCAGAGTTCAATGGGTTCTCTAACCAGCCTCTGAGGATTTATGAAGTTCACCCTAAGGGTCCAAGGACCCAAAGAATGGGGTGTTAGGGTTCAAAGGCTGTCATTTAGGTGGACCCCCCACCCAGTAATAGTGACTGTAGGGGATAATAGGGATTATATTAGGGTCCTCTTATGTTCCTATTATACCAGTATGAGAGGGTGGGGGGTCCTCCTAAACTATAGTATTAATGGTATTTGGGGCCTAAAGCCCTATTACTTGGGTCCTTGGATCCTTCGGGTCAACAAACGCTAGTAACTGTTCGCGCATTTCAGCTTCCCCTCCACTGCCTTGAGCTTCATCCTTGGGCAAACCAACTCCCAACACCTTCATCTATATATATATATATACATATCTCTCTCTCTCTGGAAGTCATTCCTGCGTCCTTACAAAGATCGTTCGAATCTTGATCGACAACCCGAAGCCGACATCAACGTCAAAGGCGCATATTCTCTAAATCCTAACCCCTACACATTAAACCTCTAGTCCCAATTCCAACAACACTTGTTGGCCACCCGCCCCACGGCTACTTTCAATCACTATTCCTACGAGGATCAATACTTTGCTGGCGGTCTTCTTCTGGATATTCTTATGCTGAAAGTAGGCCAGGATCCGGGTTTCGTGCAACTTGACAAATCCAAACTTGATGGACCCTGATCCTTCCCCACAATTAATAAAATTGGGCTGAATCACGCTTAGATAAGGGCTCATATATCCCCTCAACGCCTTTACGGCAGGGTTAAACCTTCAGTCCTTAGAACACCACTGGCTTCCACGTGGGTTGGGCTTGGGGTGGCTCTCCGGCAATTTTCACTATGACCTCTTACAGGCAGAAATACGCTAAGCACAAATTTCGCATCCAAATCACACATGCGCAAGTCGAACGGTAGCTTCTCGGGCATAGGGTGTGCATCGCGAGTTTCACACGTAGGCACGGTTTGACATAGAGACCGTGGCAATACTCTTGCATGCCGTTGGGCCGCATCTTTGCTGAGCAGAGGGGGCTCTATCAGAATCACATCGGGATGAATGTAGGCGCACCTGCGTGTTGGATTAGATGCCTTTATTCAAACAAGTAGGTTTGGAAGTATCTGGCAAGAGAGGTACACTTCCGAAATCATCCATCTTCAGGGAAATTGGCTGAAACTGCCCACGAATCACCGAGAAAGCCAGAGCTTGGAGACTCAACACTTCACACTTTTGGATGCCAATGTGCCTCTCCCTGAAAATACCCTTCCTACTCCCTCAAAACCCCAAACCTTGGCCTTTTGTCAGAACGGCGCATGAGATCAGTCAGCTAACAACACGCGGCCGTTTTGCAGGTGGTTCATCAGGCTCGGTACCCTCACCAAGCCTGCGGTGCTCGGAGCCATATTGTGACGGATGTACGGGGCACATTTACACTTTCAGCCCTGAGGGTCCATGTACCCAGCAATGACTTAGGTAGGGCTTGGGCATATTAATTATGCTGCAGGAAATGGGTAAGCACATGGTCATTAAGTACTTGGACCCTTAGGGTAGAGGATATCGACGGGCAGAGCGAGTACGATAGGACATGAGAGACCATCGAGGGCTTTACTGGAAGTAAAGGGTGGGGACGTAAGGGCTGAGGATGGATATGGCAAGTGTGCGAGCTTCGGTTAGGTGCTCGGCAAATGACATAGGAGGATCTACGAACCTAATTATATTGAATAGGGGACCGACGTTGTAGGCCATTTGAAGGAGCACTGGAAGGCGCTGGGCAGCCGTCTAAGGCTCAAAGGCTTAAAGCTCCTTCTGCATGTGCTTGACTGCTAACAAGAGGAAATGAAGCTGTCTACTGAGAAAGCTTGTCGTGCTTGTTTCTTTTATAAACCCAGCATTTTCACAGCGGAGGTACACCCATGAACTATAATTCGATTAATTCTAGATGCTTAGGTAATCAGGCCTTCTGCGAGGCATTGTGCTTTTTGCCCAGGTATGTACTACGCCCTCATATTTTGAAGCCGGAAGCCCAAAACCAGCAACGGGTAATAGGGACATTACCCCAAAAAACAAGAATCGATTGGAAAAACCATCAAAGTATAAAATGGGCACGGGGGGAAATAGAAGTATGCAGAGATTGGGAGTTTCCAAAAACAGGCCCCCACCCCTAGCGCGGCTAAGACACATCTGCACATAATCCGCCGGCACGTCGCTCTGAGATCCGTCCTCATCCCACACAATCCTGGGCTTCTGCTGTAGCACGCACCCAAGAATCCAGAAGGGAGGGACCCTGGTGAATTTCCTGTATGGGGCTGGTTGCGGCGTATCAAAAACATCTTGGCTGTAGCCCAGATTCTGGAAGGAGCCGTCGTCATATACCTTGGAGCATCGAAGCGAACAGCAACACACAAAATCTCAGTAAGATGATCCGCCCCACGCACTAATAATAGTAGATGCCATAGCATGTTGTAGAACTACACTTGGACTTGCACATGGTTTTCTATATCAATAGCATCATTCCTTGCGGTCACTACTAGGTACTAGGTGGGTGGAGGAGGTCCTTTCTCAGGTCGCGGTACCAGGCCCAGAGTTCCGATACTCCCGTTCAAATGGCAGTCCTCATACACGGACCCCAGACAGGATCAAGAAGAGTGGACACACCACCAAAGAAAAGAGACATGACAGTCTATTTGGCCTTTTTCAAATTTGCTGTTGGACATGAAGCTCAACAAATGCGACATTTATGATACAACAGTAGTTTGAAAGTACCTGTCCATGCACTAGCGGACGGTGCTTCGCTTGAACTTTCCCATCCTGATATCCTTACTATCCGCACTTTGACTGACTCAGCCAGATAGAACATGGGAGCTTTCAAGGCATTGGGGGGTCTGATTCTCACAGCCCGCAGGCGATAAAAAGCAACAGCACCCAAACATATCCCCGGTTAGAAGCTAGAATGAAGAAATGGATGGCAAGAAGCTTGGCTAGCACAATCTGCGGACCATGAACAGGATGCATTCCTTGACTCCCTACCAAGCGCCACCAAGACATGTCAACATTATGTCCCTATTAACCTTCAAGGACATAAGTCCATTTCCACAAACGCTCCTGCTAAGCGAATACCCCCCAACATAGTAGACCCTCTCTTGTTGCAAAAAGACACCATGATCTCGAGACAGCTCCTCCTACCCAGCCGAATAGTCCGTGCACCACCCCTTTCCCAGGTGCTTGGGTCATACCCCAATATAACCCCAACATAGCCCCAATATACTACAGTAGTTTCCATTTTCTTTTCCATTATCCCAATATATCCCCAATATAACCCTAATATACTACAGTAGTTTCCATTTCATTTTCCATTATCCCAATATTCTCCTAAACCACACGGTGCCTGGGTTATAGTGGCAGGGAGGTAGGTTCCATCCTCCGGCCAGTAGGCCTGGATTGTGGCCCCCACTTCGAAGACAACCCCCGGCTCAAGCTCCTCAGCGGCTTTTGAAAGCATGCAGGTTCGTGTACAGATAGAGTAGAGAGAGAGCCTACGCAGTAGGGGTTAAGGGGTCATACATGTTCTGCTAGAATGGATATAGACGGGGGGGTACGGGTTATGGGACAGTCAGACGTGGAAGGCTACCTGCATTGATGCTCCCCTGAACTGAGGAAACTCTGGTAGGTAATGTACTACCATCTTGGAGCAGGAACCTGACAAGGGACCCGCGGCACAGCAATTTACGAACAGTGCTCATGTGTTATCAACACGGAACACCACACGCAGTAGCACAGTAGCAGTTGAGAGTAGTGACAGCCACTGCCGTTGTAGTTGATTCACATTCAGAATCCGGGGATTTATAATGAGAAGTTTGGCCTCATTGTTGAAGCGGCCGCTGCGACAATGCTAGTAAGGAATAACACAAAATGGGTAGTGGTAGAGCAGCACGTAGCAAAATCTTCACTGATCCGATCAGACACGCATACCCCCCCTCTACCCATACCGGAAGTAGGATTTGCAAATGCTAGCACCAATCAGGATGCTCATAGGCGATACAGTGTAGAGTCGACAGCCGCGCAAGGATATCTCCCAGTTTACCCTTTCACCCAGCCTGGAATGAGCCCACCTCCCCGCAAATCCCTGTGCACCATCCTACCCAGGGGCTCCTCCGCAACTTCTTCAAGGTCGTTTTGAAGCTCCTCTTCGTTTGCTGCCTCTTCACCCAACACCTCGCCATTTTCTGACGCCCCTTGGGGCTCATTCTCTGCCGATGGCCACTCCCCTTCTATGTAGACAACGCCATTGCACTGTGCGGGCCTCATGCCACGGGCAGGAGCCGGAAGAGTGAAGGCTTCGCCATCCCCGCGCACCAGCGAAACATCAAGTCTGAACTCCAACTCTGGCAAGCCCTTGGAAGCACATTTCTCAGCAACCTCCGCGTCCACCTCCCACAGCGGAACTAGGTCGATATCGCTGCCACCCTTCTTGAGGGACTCGGTGCGTTGCTGTGCAATTGTCAGCTGTGCCTTCGCATGCATGCGTACAGGTGGTAGGAACAACGGGCATTAAGCAACGCTCCACCAGACAAAAACTAGACTAGAATGCTGTGTAGCATGTGACCAGACAGCAAAGGTGCATAGGAATAATAGGACTGATACAATACTATGTCACGGTCTTCCCCTGCCTTCACCGCTGAATCATCGCGGCCCTGCGCACGTAGGCTCATCATCTGCTGGTGAAGAGCAGCGGTCTTCTTCTTGCACTCCTGGAGCTCCTCAGAAAGCCTTGCCCATCAAGCGTCTGAAAAGAAAAAGCCTCTTTGGGTTTCAGATTGTGCTGTATTGTAGTACTGAAATATGCAACGCAAAGATGACGTCATCAAGATTCATAAAAGGGTGGTGTTCGTACGGCTACTACCCTGAGGTGCATAACCCTTCGGAAATGCAGGCGATGAAGCCCTTAGCTTCAAAACCACAGATTCCTCAGCTTCACACTCTGAACCCGAAACCCAGAATCCCAAAACATCTGGGCAGCTCGATGGAGTTCACGGCACCCAGCAATGGGTGGTCCGCTTTAAACATCGGTCGCAGCATGGGTGCTGCAGGGCACAGGAACCTGAGGCTCACACTTGACAACAGGAGCTAGAGGCACATTGAGGGATATAGAGGGGGATGTGCGGATATGTGAGGATATCCATGGACATCTAGGGAATGATGCTTGATGATGGGAATATGTAGGGCTTGCGCTTCCGCCAGTTTGAGAAACAAGCCGCCATGGGCTTGCCCGAAATTAGCCTCCAGAACAAGAAACCGAACAGTTTTCATATTAGCCATGGGCTTTTTTGGAAGGCTTCAAGACCTTCCGAAGGTTCTATGGACCTATGGGGCTTTCCTCACTCGGTTATCTTCAGCATTCTGGCTCCTGTTTCTGGGGTCATTAAAAAAAAACCGCCGTACCATAGCACGAGGGCACATTTAAACAAACGCCGCTTCAGGTTCGCGATTTAGTGGGTCATGAAATTTCCAGCATGCCCAACTCCTTGTTCAAGTCCACCTTGAAAAAGTGCTGCTTTCTTTAACAGTGCCTAGTACCTAATAGTCATCAGGGGATCCCATAGGTCTTGTTGAAGGCCGTAAGCAGCACACTCAGAGCGCTCTTTGGGATTCAAATTCAGGAACGTCCGAGGCACTGTTCTGCATGCTGCACAGGCAGGACGCAGATCGCGCAGGAAATAGGTCGCATGGGGCCAAACTCTGACCTTCAAGAATCAGAAAGAAAACCCCCAACCACCGAGGGTGCAAATTTTTATTGCGATTACAACCCAATGGACCGATCCCATACCGGAACTGCCGCACCGTGAAGATGCCAACTCAAACCGAGTGTAGCTTAAAAACCTGACTCGCTAATGATGCTCCAGATGATTGAATTCTATAACTCCTATAAGACCCTTTATAATCCCTGTATGATACCTATATAATCCCTATTAAGCCATAAAAATCTCCTAAATAACTCGTATGTCGTCATCTGAGTGAATCTTACTCTCTCTTCAAAGGGCTATGTAACCGGGCTGCAGTGGCTTTTCATGGAGGGGGCGGGTCCCAAAAGGGAGGGTTAAAGGGGCCATAGCCATATAGGGGTTATATAAGGGTATACACCGACATAGGTTTTAGGGTTTCCAAAAATTGGAGGTTTATTGGGGTCCCTATGCTACGGACTTTAACATATGGGGGTCTATATTGGAGTCCCCCGATTTAGGGAAACTACCACAACTACATCATAGGCAAACAAAGCCAAATGCCCCCTTTGTCTAGAATGCTTATATCAAGGTATTATCTCATGTTGGGCCCCCAATATACTACTGGCCCCTAAGATGTAGGGTAGCCTTTCCAGACCATGATTTTCAGTACCCTCCATATGTTGGATCTTACGCTCTAAATGTTCACTCCCCTCCCCTATATTTCTTCAAACAACCCTTGAAGAGCAAGCCCTGCACTGCATTTCATGGGCCGCCAACCTATCATCCCGACACTATACATACGAGGATTTTGATAGCCCCAACTCTTATACTGAGGACCGGATTCAAGGGGCTTCTTGTGGGGGTCTGGGTAAAAAGAATCCACACTTTATCTATCCTGATGTCTTCCAGCTTGGAAGCCTGCATATCCAAATTCTGCAACATCCTTGACCATTCCTGAAGCCCACACGGAGCTTCGGACAATCCCTGCAGTCCCATAACCCCTGCATCTCGTAGTCCTGGTCCCCAAACCCGACTCCTGCCCTGCTCCCTGAGCTTAAGCCCTGTAGTTTCTAGGCCATGAGCACCATAACTTCTAAAGCTTTATCGCTAAATCCAAGCCCTAAATCCCAAACCCCAAACTTCAAACCCAAGCCCCTTCTCCTCGCAGCCTTGGAGGAGCCAAGGGATCAATGTCATCAGCATCAAGGGAGGAGACGTACTGCGCAATCACTCGGGCACTGGCAAAGCTTTGCAAGCTCTTCCTAGGGAGCAGGTTTTGAACTTGCCCATGAGGGTTCCGCGGTAAGGGTTCAGGAATCGTGGGAAGTTCTGGTAAATCATATACGCACAATAGGTGTAGCACTAGGTCATACTAGGTCACCAGGCTTTTCTAGACAGTAACCTGAGGTACAGAGGATAGACACCACCGGAGAAGGTACTTGGGGTAAGGCGGGGATAGCTTCCTGATAGATAACCAACAAGGGCACTTCTTCCACAGGATGACTGAAGTTATGGTGTCCGGCCCTTCCCGATCCAAAAAAAGCTTTGCTAACGAGCTCGGTTTCTCTAAAACGTAGTAAAAATCACCGCAGTATCCATGATGATACATCTCCAAATTCCAAAGAAGTCCCTCGAGGTACTTGCGGACACCTTCAGCCGTTCTGTCGCATACAGCAGCTTTCGCAACTGCACCTCCGGCTGCAATCGTCATAAGCTTGGATAGAAACGGCAGGTAGAAAGAGAAGTGTTCATATGGCTCTGCAATGAAAGCAGCCCCTCTTTCGCCCAACTCGTATGCCCACCCTCCCTCCAAATGTGAGAGCGGCAGCCCTTCCTCTACAACGGAGCCCTGGATGAGCGATGTTGAAGCGAACTGCTTCCGACGTAAACTGAGGTACTGTTCCCAGAGCTGCTGGGCACCCATGCCACACTTCAGCTCGGGCAGATAATCGTTTCCTCCCAGGAGGGATAGCAATGCAAAGTCCCGGCGCAACGCAGCTTCATCGGGCGCGCTGCGCGTGCCCGGACATTTCAGCTCAGACAGAATGTATTTTGAAAGCACCTCGGCGTTCCAGATCTGCAAAATCATGCCCCTGCGTCTCTTGCCCTGGCCACCCTCATCCGGTCTTTCTGAGACCACTCGTACGCGACGGCAGGTGCTTTGCACAAGAGATAGCAAGAAAATGTCAGCATCCCCGCTAGAAATGACGTGGGTTTCCTCTGCAGAGCCACCTGCTGTAGCTGCAGCAGCATTGCGCAGCATCTGAGAAACAATCTTGTGCTCGCCTTCGCCGACAGCCTGCGCCCCGCTGACGGTGGCTGCATGGCACCTGCTGAAGCACCCGCCTGGGTACAAGCGACTTGCGGCATAATACTCGAGCGCGGCTGTCAAGCTTGTCATGAATGGCACACCAGGTGTGAGCATGTTATTGGATAGTGGTGAGGCTCCATCTGCACCCCACTTTCCTCGCTTGCCTTTGCCTTTCCCTTTTGCGCTCTTGGCATCCTTCTGGGCATGTGCCCTGCGGCGCTGTCGCTGTGTCAAACACTTCGCGCAGCAAGCAGGACCATCAACGGCGAGATAGACGCTGTTGATTGGCACCACGGTGCGGAAGAGAGCATCAAGCTTGGCAAACAGATGCTGGTAGAAGCCATCCGCACTGGTCGCGTGTCGCATGCAATCGTGGAGCATGGTGTTGATGTCCACGTACACATGATCAGCTTGCTCCTGGTGAGCCTCTTTGAACGCATCAGGGTATCGCTGCTCCAGCCATTTATGGTATTTCGGAATGCCCATAGCCAAGGAGCGGAGCCTACGGAGCTGGCAGTTTCATCTGGAACCGCGCGTAAACTTCAGGAGCCCGTGGCCAATCCAACCCTACATGGACTCTGCAACTTGTTTTTGGAGTTTGTTGGACATGTGTTACTGCCACCAGCATATCGGCAGTTCCCTCTTTAATCTCAAGTGGTTTGCCTTAATATTCATGCCAGCATTGCAGAATCCAGCTATAGCCGTGTACTGCCTTCGATCAACTTAGGGAGGAGTCTTGCACTAGGCACTTCCCGGACTGTAGCTGCTCTTTCTTGCCAGACGATCCCGTCATTCAACTATGCCTTGGACACATTGCACCTGTTTGGCAAGCCTATAGCCTATAGCATACAATCCGTACAGGAAAACAAGTTCGACCCAAAATCACATTCAACTAGTACGACGCAGTAATACCGAATCAGGTTGCAACAAACCACCACCGCAGCAGCAAGGACAACAGACAAACTGCGATGCTGGTGGGCCATCCTGCTTATCATGCTGTACTTCTCCAACTCCTACCCCTACGCTACCACTCCTATTCCTACTCTTACTCTTACTCCTACCACTACTATTATTCGTAGTGGTAATTACTATAAAATACTGCTGCTGCCACTACTACTCCTTACAACCACCACCACCACCGCCGCCGCCGCCGCCACCATCATCGCCGCCGCCCTCACCAGCCTGCCGCCGCCGCTGCCAGAACAAGAAGTCTGACCTGCCGACCCTAGACTCCCTAGACCTTGCCTTCGAGGCCAGGGACGGTCGACTTCGCTTGTTCGGCCCATCTATGACGAGCGAATCTGCCTGTGAGTGGACGCATGCATGCAGTGTTGGCGCAAAGCGTACGCAATCAGTGGACATTGTGATCACAGGCTTGCTGTCTTGTTGTGCTTGCAGCCTTCTGCACAGGAGCTGGCAGATGAAATCTGCATGATCTGATCAGCCAGGGGCCTTGTTCACAATTGCTGTGGTTGACTGCGATGGCAACGACATTCGTACAACAGGCAAGGGGAAACCTAGCATTCCGTCTCTCTCATGAGCCTCTCGTGCGCTTGGGGAGAGGCCTCAGGTTTGACTAAACATCTGGTCATTCCTGCCCACCATGCTTGTTGACGACCAAGCCAGCAATGAAGAGTGTTGAGTACGATCAGAATTCGAACCAGCATAGCAATCTGCCCTAGGGGTGAGGGATTGGGTCTGCAGGGGCGCAACCGAGTTTGTCTCGTGGAAACGATTGTCAGGGCTTGTTGATCACCAGAACAAGATCCCTACGTGCCAAGTACCAAGCCCTCCAATCCATTGAACTTTGTACTCCAAACCTCTTAAACCATGCGCCCGGACTGCTAACACACTAAAGCTCCTTTCCCGTCTTGATTCCATCCTATTGTGTTGCTCTAGCGGCCACAAGGACTTTTCTCGACCTGCCAAAGACGGCCTGCAAGTATGTAATCGCCCGAGAAACACAGCAAAATGCGCAAGCATTACCGTGTTGGATACTGATAAAACTATCAGCAGTTCGGGTGGTGGTGGTAGTAGTGGTAGTGGTGCCAGAGGCGGCGGCGGTGTAGCGGTGGCGGTGGCGGTGGCGGCAGTTTTGGTGCCGGCGGCAGTGGTGTTGGTGGCGGGGGCGGTGGCCGTGGCCGTGGCTGTGACGGTGACATTGGCATACATTGGCGCTGGCGGGGTGGCGGGGTGTTTTCTTCTAGCAGTAATCATTAACTACCAGGAATAATCCTGACCTCAGCTTCCGAGACCACTGAGTTGCGACGCTTCTTGGCAGAGCCAGGCGCATCTGAGGTGCACGTGTTTTTTTTCTGAGGTCGTCCGGATGTTGTGGGGTTGTAGGCGTCTGGAAAGCTTTTTTTGCGTTCATTTGATTCTAAATTCATGCCGCAGTCTAAATAGGTAGCCTGGCTACCAGATGGACTCTGCAGGTTCAACGCGTCTAGTTGTTGAGGGTCTAGGTACCCCAAAGCCCGGTATGCACGTTTTATTACCCAACCGGTCCACGTACTTAGTACTGCGGGCTCTGATACCACCTAGAAGATCAGGCTTCGTGACATGCTGTTTTGTTTGCTCAGAACTTCAGCCAGGTCATTATGCACAGATCCCTGAAGCAGGCGGTGCAGTAGTCGATGTTGGGCTGAAGTTTCAATGCTCTCGGAGCCTGGAGTTTCATGCTAGGCTCAAGGTACTGGGCGCGCTTCTCGGGCCTCAACAAAATCTTCAGATGTATGCACGGTCTGCTGTGAGAATTGTCTGCGTATGTTCTGTTCGGGCACGCTTATGTCTAAATGGGCACGCATCAGCTGCATTTGGTGAGCCCCACCCCCCACCCTAATAGACCACAAGGGCCACAAGGGATGAAGGTAACCATATTAGCTATTATGTCCCTATGGAGGACTTTGTCCGAATACTCCATCTATGATCCATTGTAGAGAACGCAAATAACCTTGGGGATGCAATTTGAAGACCCCCCATACATTCCTACTAGATCACCCTTAGCCTATGGGAAGCCCCACACCCTAAATCCCTGAACCCCTTAGCCCACGCCCCTACTACCTAAATCCCTACACCCCATACATCCCTTCAACCCTGATCCCCAAACCCTGAACCCTAAACCCTGATCCCCAAGCCCGAAGCCGTGTCACCTCCTGGTTCTTGCGGCACAGTCAAACTACAGAACCGTCCTTGGAGTGATCGGCGTGGTCTCTAACTTTGAGAGGAAAACGGTTTAGGGCCTCTAAAAAGATTACATAGGGTTTTGGGGGCTTAGAAGGCCATATTGGGGGCTGGCGTTAGGGATAGAGAGGTAAGGGCTGAGGGATGGGGGTTTGTGGTTGGGGAGGGCGTGGGCAGTGGTTCAGGGATCAGTTTCTATCACAACGCGGGCCATGGGTGGAAATTAGAGATTCTATGGGCTTCCAGAATTGAGGGCTCCCAAATCCCGCAAGAAGTATTATATTCCCTCTTGGGCTCGAGAATAGGCACCCAAGAAACTCCCATGTAGGGTTGTTTTGAAGAACTCCCAGCTACCACGGAGATTCTCAGTGTTTGAGTCAAGGGGGTCGGCTTGTAAGGCTCTAGGAGCGAGGTAGTGTAAGGTCTTTCGGGCCCAGCCGATCCGTCCCATGGTAGGGATACAGGATTACTATGAGGATTACCCTACAGCCAGCTCGGCATCTGAAGGGCCGTCTAAGTGAGGATTACTGTGAATATCTGTACGAAGCCTCAACCGCAAAACTCTTACCAACAAGGTAGCGAAGGCAATGAAGGCCTGTTCAAGGCTGAATGACGCCGAGCTCGCTGGCAAATGAGGTGCAGGTGACGGCCGTCTGTGCTAGTTTTTTGACATTAACCCGGAAACCTAACTTGGCAAACCGTGAGAGCTACCACCTCTATATGTATACATATATATATATATATATGTGTTTCCACAGCGGCTCCTGTTACAAAAGCAAGCAGCGGGATTTAGAGTTGACTTGGGGGTCGACACTGTCGCGGCACCTACGCAAGACGTCCCAAATCAACATTCCTTGACAGCCAGCGAACGCTACTTGAACCCTACCCGAGCTCTATGACTATAAATAACTCAGCGATTCGAAAGCCCGAACCCAATCCTTCAACCCTAGACTACTAGATGCCAGCCCCAAACCCACAGCAATCACCCGTGTTGCCGAGTTTCCTTTGTGTGCCGACAGTCCCATCTTAGTCGGAAAGCTGCGGCCGCATTCACAGTTGAAGCCAAGTGTCCTGTGCGATGCACAGGGACTATTCGTGGAAGTTTGGGGGTTTTGTGGCGATGCTAATTGGGTTACCTGACTGACATAACTAAAACTTACAAAGAACTCTAGTGGGATTGCAAGAATACCTACGGGGAAGTGTAGGATTTCACCCATGATCCCCGATCCCCGGTAAAATGGCATAGAGCTGTGGGCCCCCTAAGAGTGTGTGATGTTGCTCACCCTACTTGAGGGCGCCTCAAGTATACAAAAACCGAGAAACCTGTCACTCAGGAATTTGGTAAGGCATCAGGTAGTTTGGAAAACAGGGCTCCGCGTTCTTGTAGCCCAGCAGACCTTTATATGCCTAAATGCTTCGTAGAGCGAGGCAGAGAGAGAGAGATATAGATATACATAATATACGTATGTATATGCTGTATGGTTCTATATATATATAATGTGTACATACGCAGAGACACACAAAATATGTGTACATCTGTGCATGTTTTCACTATGTATAAACACATTTCCATATATCCCGTGGTGTATCCTAGGTAGCCCTAGACATCTCTACATAACCTACTTGGCTCGTGGCCCTTAACCAACCCCCTACTCCTTAATGGGGACCCCCGTAATCTCTGTGTAATCTCCACATTTCATGGCCCTAACTGCAACCCTAAGGCTCCGTGTAGGTGGTATCTATAGACTTTAGGCTTCAGTGTAGGTACGACTTATAGACTTAGAGCCTCAGGGTTAGGGCATGATTTTGAGAAAGCCACATAGGCGGACGCCTGAAAATATCACGCCTCTCCGTCTGTTCTGGAGTCTCCATGGCATGTTTGAAGTCTCCCGGACGAGGGGCCCCGGAACGGATTCCGAGAATGCTAAATAATGGTATTGCGCTTCAGTGATGATCGGTGCGATTCTCTGAGAATGTATAGGGCTTCAGAGTCTACATGAAGCTGTACACTTTCCGACTCAATAACCACAACAAGAATAGTGTTGATGATGCCGTTAACGATGTCAAGACCCAAAATGAAGTTTGATAGTCGTGCTGGTTGTGCTGCTGCAGATTTTCTTATTGTGCTTCTTATTTGTGGAGTCAGGATGTGGAGGAGGAGGACGAGCGCCGGTCTCGCGACATCAGCCGCTGAAAGAAAAGGGCTAGTAGCTACTGGTGAACCGACTGGCTAAAACATGAACATCAGGAGTGTAATGAGCAGATGGTGGGTGCTTTTGGAAGTGTATGCAACGTCTGAGATC